GGACACTTTTTGCATTTAACAATCGCCATCTTGGCTAGTACGCATCAGTAGTTAAGCGACCTGCCGTGATTTTTTTTTTTTACGATCTAAATAACATACCACCATACGATGTTGAACTGCAGTGTACCAAGGAAAGTACCCCAATTGAGACACCTCATAACTCTAACTTCCCAGAGCTGATGACCGCCTTCTTGCGTTGTGTGTGTTCACCCTCATAGTTACGTATTAGTATCTTGTATGTATTGCACAGTTTATTTTTAAGGATAGCCAAACAAATCATATTACAACATTTTTGATAACATTCATGATTGGTTAGGGGAGCTACGTATATTTCTTTGCTCAAAGTAAATCAGCAACTCACCTCAGCAGAGTCCAGGGTTAAAACCTGGAATGTGAATCATTTTCAAAAGCATAATAGAGTGGCGAAGTCCCTCCCCTTCCGGTTGAGCCCCATGGGACCTTATTTCGGAAAAATTATGCATTGAAGTCAATGGAGAGAGAAAGATTATCTTTCGATCCCGTTTGAATTGTGCCACGAATTACACATATGATGTTTGTCAATTTAAAATATAATTTTGCAAGTCAAAAAAAAAAAAATGTGTCGTAAAACTGTGAAGTAACACATTTGTTTGTGTGAAACGCTAAATTAACTACATCTCTGGTCAACCACACACATCACCAAGATGGCCGTCACTACTGTCTTGTCAACAAACGATTGACTATCACCACAATGAAACACGTCCTGAAGAATGTCATGCAAAGCTGCCTGCCTGCCTTCCTTTGATTCTCTCTGAACTGCCTGGTCGTTTTAATGTTTAATGTCAACCATTTGTGCAGATAGCATGAAGTAGAAAAGATCGCCGAGGCTAACGTTAGCGTTAGCATTTCTCCCCCGGAATTAAATGGTGTATTATAGAATGATCACACCGGTGACAGTACTATTCAAAGGGTTCACGAAATATGACTACTACTCTTACTGTTTAACATTTTGGGTTACTTAATGTTACTTCATGTTAAGGCTAATAAAAATGACAAGGCTGTAATGCTAACTAACGTGCTAGCTACTAGCTAGGTAGCTAACTTGATCAAGCCACTCCTGGTCGTTTCATCAGACGGGAAGCAAAAGAACGAGCAAGACCCATTGCTGGTATAATAACAACCTGGTACTAAGCACACAGGCATCTTGTTAAAGTTATCTTATCTTAGCCAGCGCCATATAGATAGATTATATCTATATTGCGCTGATCTTAGGTATCTGAATGGTGGAGGTAAACAATTGTGACATCACTTACGCGACTCTGGGATTTGTAGTCTTTCTAGTTACGTATTTTTCATAGTCTTATATTTCAACAGTTTTACGACAAACTGTGACTTTTTTGACATGGAAATGATTTTTTAAGATTGACAAACATCATATGTGTAATTCATGGCACAATTCAAACGGGATCGAAAGATAAGTTTTCTCTCCCCATTGACTTCAATGCATAATTTTTCCGAAATAAGGTCCCATACCCCGGAAGTAAGTGGGAGGGACTTCGCCACTCTATAACCATCAATGACATGGGTAACTATATCTGTTGTATGCTACACAAATAAAATACATAGAGAAACGTTATTTCATCCACATTTCTTTATTTGGTTTTAGGCATGTCGGTATGTGATCAAGGGAGGAGAAAAGGCAGCGGTGAGACATTCAGGATCAGTCTGCAGACAGAGACCAAGCTGTGGTTAGGCTAACACGCTAGCCAATGCTAATAGCTCTCCCTTTAATATTTCATCACACTTTAATAATTATTTAGAAAGGTAAAAATGTGCACCAGCTATCATGGTTAATGTGTAATTTAAAACATTATCTTGGTAAATGTGCAGCTATAGATCAATGGTTTGCCTAAAGAAGAATAGCTTATGTACACTGAGTGACCAGGATATCACCTGATGATGAATATGTCAATTATTAGGATTTTGTCTGAGCGCCACAGTTTCTGCAGCTAAATACGTGTAGTCTTGTAATTACCTTCATAACTTAAAGACGCACAACAGGTGCCCTCCGGCTGAATAAATAAATAAATAACATTAAAGGGTCAGTTCACACATATCAGGAAAAATCACCACAAAAGGTATTTACAGAATAAAATGAGAAAAATCGTGGTTTAATGTTAATGAATGTGAAAAGTCATACGTAATATCACATATATTAGGGTGGAAGTCACCTGTGTCATCATGTGTGTTAAGGTGGAAAATGACATGTGATATTTATTACACTTACTTATCAATAAAAACTCTAATTAAATGCCTCATTGTATTGACATTGGCGAAGCTACCTCATGTTAGCTAAGGCTCTAAGTTTTATGGAAACATTAACTTGTATTGTTTACCTTGGTGGTAACAGTGGAAGTTGTTTGGCCCTTTAAAACGAATATACTAATGTTGTCATTTTGTGATAAAGTACACACATTGAGATGTTTTTAACTACTCCCTAACATTCTGTTCTCTTTCAGAATGCCAGGTTCGTGACAGACAAACCTTAGAAAAATAAAGATGAACTATAAAAACATTTTTTGTAAATTGTGTGAACTGACACCCTTTTTGTGTGAATTCTGCATTGAACTTACAGTGAAAGCCTTCCAGTCACAGCTCGGTCTCCAGTGTGCCTGCAGTCAGTCCTTACCTCTCAACCTTTGTCATGTTGGCTACAGACGGAGGAGGGACCTCGGTCACAGCAGTGTAAAGCTTTAGGATTCAGTTGGCTACATTACAGTGGAAAGCTTTAGTGAAAAGAGAAGCACTTATAATCATTAAAGCATTGTTTCTCCTTGGTACTAGCAGACAGTTTCTACTGGACTACATTTTTTAAAACTTTTTTGTGGTTGTTTTTTATCTAGTAGTAGGCTCTTAAGGGCAAAATGTGAGTTTGGCTTCAAAAACTTCCAGCCATACATTCTCATTCACATCACTTCCTCAAAGACCATAACCTAAAAATCATTTTCATACCATCCTTACACATGTAACAAAAAAACCCTAATTCATGTCATCAAATCTAATAATAATATCAACAATAAGAAAAAGCAAACATTTGCTTTGGCACATTTTCCTGTGCACAGCAGGAAGAACAAAAGACTCAAATGAAAAGAGGCAGAGAAATGAAATGGTTCCAAACAGAAGCAACAAATGCGTTCTATTTAAAAACTAGCTTAACCACTAGACAATTCGCACTAGAAAAATCACATTGACTTTTAGGTCTAAATCAAAACCACTTTTTGGTATTGTGTTGGTCTAACAGCTTCAGTGGGAGATGAGGAGAAAAGCCCTCATCCTTTAATACTGTATTCTTTGAGGAAACCTAAAACACTCCTAAAGGGTTGAGGTGAACCTTGAGGAACATAACAGCTCGAGTGACAACACACACTTTTGGTTAATGATATATTCGTTTAAAGCATTTTTTAGTTTGGAAACCGTCTATTTAAAAAATATATAAAGCTGAAAAGATGAGTGTTTTGTTAGCGATGGTGAACAATGAGGATTGCACACAATTTAGCATCCAAGCTAACTATTGTTGGCTTTAACAAGTGAGTATTTAAGCTTCTTAATGTGCTGCTATAGCTACATCAAGCTAGCATGCAAAAACGGATGTTAGCAGTGCAATTTAGCAACCAGAGCAGCTAAATATGATGTGTACTCATTTGAAGATAAGAAAGAAACATTAGCTAGTGAGCTAATATGGGTTGTTGATGACCGTATAAAGCTGTTGTGTTTTGTCAGGCCTGTTTAATGGCTGTTGTAATAAAGCAGTGACAGCCGTTAAGGAAAAGAAAGATAAATTACACATTTCCTTTTTGGGCACTTGTTTTTTCCTTTAAAATACAACCATTCAAGTCTTTGTTTAAACCACTTAGGTCAAAAAGTACTTTTTGGGTTAGGGTTAAGAAAGTGGTTTCTTCTCACAGCTGCTGCCCTCAAGGTTCACCTTGTGTTAACTGTTCACACACTCGTGTAAATGATCACGCTCACAAGCATGATCCTGTGCTTTGGTTATGACGAAGTGCAAAGTTAAACCCTTGGAATGTTACATTTGTAGAGGTTACATAGTTTGTTAAAATACATAAATATTTGGCAAGAATTTAACTACTAAAAACAGAAAGCAAGTATTCCTTAACGATATAGCAAGTATTTCAAAATATCTGACATCTTCATTTGGTTACTCTTCAAAAAGGTAAAAGTTAGAATCAACAAAATAAAGAGTTCCGTGTTGAAGGGGTGCACCTGGAATGACCAAACAAAAGGTTATGAAAAAATTACAAAGAAAATGCTAAGGAAATCATGAGAATTTTTTTGGTTTGGGTTAGGTTAAAGCACTTTATACCCAGGTGACCCCTTTCAAATTGGAACAATCCAAACATTTACAGTAAGTAAATGTCTCTCTTAAGATAATTATTTAAAGGAAAATAAGGAAAACCATCAAAATGTGTACATCTTTGGGTATCATTCAGCTTGGTTTTCATAGAAGAACTTTTTGGATAGGCTGACACTGGAGACACGGCGCTGTCCGTGCCTTCAGGCGAGTATCACCTTTAAAATTATATGCTGCCAACTCAGTGTCGTTGAGGTCCCAGGGTGACACATTTGGCATCTGGAGAGTTAACTTGGCAGCATGGCCTCAAACACTTTTTGGCTTTCTTTTCCATCAGGGTTGTGCAGAACAAGCAAGCATCATGTTGAACTTCCTCTAATGGACTAAAAGAAAGAAAGGAATGCTTTAAATGTTCTCGAGGCACTCTTTGAGGTTTATATGTTCCATGAGCTACTTCCTCTGCACAAATAAGTCTTTGGAGATGGACACTGGAAAGCCATGTAGAGGTCAACGTTGATCAAGGAGGGAGCGCTGAAAGTTAAAGATTTCCAAAACTGGACCTGTAGATGGAAAGATGACATGGCTTGAACAGGAAGTGGTTAAGGCTCTGGTTGATCCCTGGAGCGGTAAGGCAGGGCTGTGGCGGTGGAGTTCAGGCCATGCCACGGTTATACACTCCCTGGAAGTCATCCTGAGGAGCACTCTCTGGACTAGTTGGCGACTGGCACAGTACACTGACACTGGTGGAGGAAGTAGTTTCTGAAGGGAAAGGGTTTCAGTAGTTTTTGGTTGAGGTAGGCTAGCAAAGGTAGCATTATCAGGCTAAAACCGGCCTGAACTATGGCTCAGACATTCCTGTCAGACTGAGGTAGCTTTCTTTGGAGGCGTGCAGCTTTTAGGGGGAAGAGGAGTTGAGTAAACTGTTAACACGGTTCCTCTAAATGGCTCATACGGTGATAGACAATCACTTCCTATCACTTTCACTCTCATAAGGCGTTTGCAAAGGCCACGGTTTCTTCCATTTCTTACTGCAGAGGAACTGAAGGCAAAGAGTTCCGTCACCACAGACTAAGAATGGCTTCATTTGGGGTTTAAGACCACAACTTAACATGTCAGCTTACCAGGGGGATCTGAGGAATACTATATATTTTGGTTACGGAACAGACCCCTACTGGAAAAGTGACATGTGTGTGTGGAGTACAAACTGAAGGAATGTGACAGACTGATATGGCAATGCATTTTGAAGGCTTTTTCTACATGCACATGAGAATGTGCACAGGCAATAAAGGCAATAAAGCTTTGGTTTGAGAGTTAGGGTTAGGGTAGGGGTGGCCAAGGACCAGGATGTCTCCTAGCTCTTTGAGAATTTTGTCACATTTTTGCAGAGGCTAATGTAAGGTTTGAAGCAGCCGGTCATGGGGAAAGTAACCCTGACACTGAACCCTAACAGAGGGCCCAGAAGGAGCTCATTGGTGGGATGCTAAGTGAGTAGGAGGGGGGGATATGGGTGTTGATATTAAAGACCAGTGTTAGCCAGTGTCTGTGCCAGGCAAACCTGAACCGTGCTGCTCGATGACCACCTGGTACTGCGCCGGACAGACCACCTGCTCACAGGAAGAGAAGGAGAGAGGAGACAACAAAGACAGGAATCAGATACCACTGAAGTTGAGGAGGTTAACTGATACAGTGATTGGATCAAGAGGAAAAGGATCTACCTGTGGCGGGGGCTCCACTCGGGGCCGGTGTGCTCCGTCTTTAGGGACCCCATTGTGTCCTGTGCTGTCCCTCGGTACAGACCAGTTGTCCTGAGTCCCTTTACTGCAGAACAGACTGTAAACAGGGTCCAGCTGTGAGTGCAGGTTCTGCTAACGCTACATTAGCATAGCTTAACACTCCTTCATAAAAGCTGCAGAATTTTGATGATCAATGAAGTAAGAGTCGCAATACTATCATTTTAAATAATTAGTTTCAAGTCAAAGTAGTACTTTCAAATTCTTACTTGAGTAAAAGTACAAAAGGCATCAAAATATACAAAAAGTACCAAAAGTACTTGTTATGCCTAATGGCCCATTTCAGAATCATATATTCAATTAGTGTTTTATGATTATAGATGAATAAATGTGTTCATTCAAAATATTTGCTTCCAGAATGTAGTAGAAGTTGAAGTATGAAGTAGCATACGATATAAAAACACTCAGTTACCTAAACATTTGACTAAAGAACAACACTTGAGTACATGTACTTCATTACATTTCACCACTGACAGTGAACACCATTGCATAATTCCCCAGATTATGATTTAACAAATATGATTGAGAGTGTATAAATACATATCAGTATAAAGTAAGCACAGTAGGACTGACCTGCGTCGGTACCCGAACAGCAGGAAGAGGACGCAGAAGATGATGCAGGCGGTGCCGATGTGGATGCCGATGACGATGCTGCCGAGTGAGGCCTCCCCCCCCCTGCACTGACACAGGCTGTTCTCTGCTGGACACACACACACACACACACACACACACACACACACACACACACACACACACACACACACACACACACACACACACACACACACACACACAACACACACACCACACACCACACACACACACACACACACACACACACACACACACACACACACACACACACACACACACATTACATCCTCATGATGATAGGAAAGGAGCTTCAAACATTATTTTATCTCATTTAGTTTAGGAAACTATGGTCTATTCTTTATGAAAGGAAAGGAGATAATGCTGTCCCACAATTCTTTGTGGCGCACCATTTGGCTGTTCACTGAATCACCAATCTAAATATTCTGCATTTTACAACTTATGTCCTTACTGTACATGCCAACGTGCTTTGTTTTGGAATTTTAACATAATATTAAACCAAATACAATGTAAATGTATGTTTCCATGTTTTTTTCAACATATCCCTTAAAGGTGGGGTAGGTAAGTTTGAGAAACCGGCTCGAGTGTGCTAGAATTTGAAAATACACAGCCGGAAAAGATCTGCCACTTCCTTACAGAGCCCCTCCTCCAACACACACGAACGCGCACATGACCAATGAGGGCACGAGATAAGTTTGTGCACAGATGGAAGGCTGACAGGCAGGTAGGCCATCCAGTTATTTTACCCGGGCCGGCTAAAATGATTGGTCGTGCTTTTTGCAGTACTACGGCTTCCACAGATGACATTTTATTATGGATTTTTTGTCAAAGCACTTAAGATATTCATTGCTATCGGGATGTTAAGAGCATTCCATGGAATATAACAAAAAGTGTATCTCGAGCCGGTTTCTCAAACTTACCTACCCCACCTTTAATAAAGGCTTGAGTTGGTGTCTTCTGATTTACCCATGTAATCTAACTCAGATATGTCATGCATTATTGTCTTATTTATTTTTGATAAAGTTTGTCGAGTCATTTCTGGAGTTTGATGTCCTATTGCATAATTGGGATATAATATATCTGTTGTCTAATATCATGTATGCATCTTATATTGCAATAATTAAATTCAGTTCTTATCCTTCATATATGTATTGTCTTGAAATCTGTTTTTCAAAGTAATATGCATTTACAAAAATGGTTATCTGTTCTTTCACCATATGATAAAGTCTAATTTGAACACCTTAGCAAGGTTTAAAGGTGTTTGGGTACTAGGGGATTCCTAATTGAATCTGCTGTGTGAGACTCACCGGGGCTTGGGGCGCTCTTGGCCTCCTCTGCCAGAGACACCAGTCTCTTGGAGCAGTCGCTCTCCCCGTTTCCGTTGTAGGCCACCAACTTCACTTCATACACTGCACCCGATTCTGAAACACAGGAACCAAACAGAGTGAGTCAGGAGTTTGAGACCATGACTTATACCCATTAGATCAACACATGAGGTCAAGGACGCTGGTTATTGAAAATTGATGCAGAAATTAGTCATAAAACCTGGAAAGTAGTTAGCATTTTAACAATACTGGTTACATCTTCCTAAAGTCGTTGTTTTTTTTACATGTTTTTGGAAATAAGGTGGTTGCTAACAAGTGACTCAATGAAACTACTTAATGTCATCACGCCGACCATTAGCCGCCTTTAGCTTAGCGGTGGTGACGTGAAGTTATGTGACTGTGATGAAGTTCCTTTATTACCCAACGTGAGCTTTTCACTTCTGCCAATTGCATTTGAGTTTCAAACATCAGACAGTGGTGTTAAAATTGGGAGATTATCCTGCTGAACAAAACATGTAAGAATCACACACATGTGTTTGCCACATATATTATAATCTGCAATATACCAGAATCCAAGAAAGAAATCTCATTGCTTTTTGTTGAGGGAGCATTGCTAGATCCTGGGGTCGGCTTACAAAAACAAATCATCACTGCACCACCGTTTCAGTGCTCTGACTTTAACTGGTTTAATCCATAATTGGTGCCATCTCATTTCCCAATTCATTCAGAGAAACAGCCTTTTGCATTTATTTCTAAACGCTCTGTATGGTGCCTGTTGGAGCACCTGCAATCCCCCTGCAGTCAGATAATGAGCTCATGAGGTTACGAGTCATGAAACATGATTGTCATTGACAGCACTATTCAATGAGCTGTCAGCGTAGAGACAGTCAGAAACCCTATAAGGATCAAATCAAATCAAATCAAATCAAGTTTTATTTATAAAGCACATTTAAAAGCGATTTTTGGTCGAGCCAAAGTGCTGTACATGTAATAAAAACACATTACTACAATCACAATAAAAGACAATAAATTACAACAGATATATATAAAAAATAAAAATAAAACACAAGGAAAAGTCAGGAGTCGTACTCTGCTCTAACTAGAAGGCCAGAGAGAAGAAGTGTGTTTTTAGTGTAGATTTAAAAAACCCTAGGGTCTGGGCCGACCTCACATGGAGGGGCAGAGTGTTCCAGAGCCCAGGATCAATGGCTGACTGATGATATACAGAACCAAACTGCAGCTAAACAGGGAGAAATATCTTCTCATGGCCTTATTATTCATATAAATCATGATTATTTCCTTTTCATTTTTTTTAAATGAATTATATTTTGAAGGCAGACCATTAAGGGATTTCAAGAGGAATTTGAACCCAAGCATATTGATCATTGATGGAAATGATAGACTGATGCATGTTCAGCTGAACCGCTGTGTACTGACTCAAAACTCTCTACTCTCGGTCTGTATATATTGTGACAATCTACAGCTTTATAGGAAATTGTAGAAAACTGTGGGACCTTTAAAGCTGCACTTCGTCACCCTACTGGTTTCATACCCATTTGTGTCACAGAAAATGTAACCATCCTGTTAGACGGAGCGGCATAGAAGACAAACGTTCGGATAATTATTTACAGTCCACATCTGACAATGAATAGACCTATTAAAATGATAAAGGAAAAGCTCCACAGGAATAGAGAGGTGCAGGGATGACGTATTTACCCGGAAGTAAGCTGCTAGTTCCCTCGACAAAAAGCAATGGGATTTCTCCATAGGATTTTGGAAAATAGCTCAAAATAAGGTCTGTGGAAAACGAACCTGTTTGCATGTAAATGCACGTTTTGTTCAGCCGGATAATATCCACATGTCTACCCTACTTTTATAATTTTCGAATCATAAATCTAATCGCCAGAAGCAAAATGCTAACGTTATGCTATAAACGAACTACAGATGTAGCACTCCAGATAGGACTCCAGCTTACAGCTTCCTGCCTGCTTCCTGCCTAAGACCTGCCAAAGACCAGCATCTGGGAATGTTAAGCCCTCCCACTATTTTCCAAGAGGGCATTGCCAGATTTTCAATTTCAGGATTTAACCAGGAGATGGCGCTTCATTCACAAATACAGAAAGACAACTTTTCATGGACTTTCAGTTTTGTTTAGAAGAGCATTTGAACACATCAATATTTTAGATCAAATAAAGTATATCTAATCTTGTAATTCAATAATATATATTAAATAATCATAATAATAATGTAAATGTTTACATTACACTTCTTTATTTGTCATGCGGTCTACCTACGCTGTAAAATGTATTATCTCTTCGATTTACACACGGCATCTATTGCACTTCTGTCCATCCTGGGAGAGGGATCCCTCCTCTGTTGCTCTCCCCGAGGTTTCTCCCATTTTTCCCTTTGAACTGTGGGTTTTTCTCTGGAAGTTTTTTCTTGTACGATGTGAGGGTCTAAGGACAGAGGGTGTCGTTTTCTCATACTGATATTCTGAACAAACTGTGCTGTTGTATTTGCTGTAAAGTGTCTTTACTGTAGGGTATTTTTATTATATGTACAGCACTTTGGCTCGACCAAAAATCGTTTAAAAATGTGCTATATAAATAAAAATTGATTTGATTTGATGCTCATACTTTTACCTTTACAATCGTTTGCTTTAATATGCAGTATATTTTTTGTATATTTTTGTGTTTGCTTCCTCCTGCTCCCTTTCGGACACATACTGTATGATTTATTATTATTATCAATATGAAGATATTATTAAGATAAGATAAGATAAGATGTTACTTTATTGATTGAACATTTTAGTTTAGAATGTGCTATCCCACGGTAATTCAGAAGGCTCACAGGTCACATTCCGACCATTATTTAAAACAATAGGTGCTTTCATAATAATGATGAGAAGCTATAAAATAAGAAATGAATCAAATTAAAATGTAATTATCATATCATATATTATATAGTGTATTGTATTATTAAGTAATATCATACATTAACCCCATTATAGCAGATGCCACATTGAATGGATGAACACATTTATGCATCAATAATTACAACAGAGTATTTCTAAATACAAGTTGTAAAAATACTTATATGTATTTAATACTAATAACATAATGATTAATTTCAGATGATAATACTTTTCAGTGTCTGTCTCATGCAGCAGCTGATCCAGTAATGAGTGACCCGGCCGACAGCAAAAATAAAAATGTATAACTAGTTTAGGTTGTTTGAGAGGTAATTAAAATAGCTAAGGGTGATGATCTGACTTGAAGTGTGTGTTTTCCTCCTCCCGCTGCATCACAGCATATACTGTGTATATCACCATTCTTTAATTAAATGTTTTGATAAGTGCATGCAGATCACAGTACAAGATGTGAAGTCAACAGGTAGTCACTCAGAGGGGGGTACTATTTCTTTTCAAATGCATATAGGCAATGCCACCCATTTACTGTACATGTAGGCAACACTGCCCTTCCAGTCAAGAATTTGAATGGGATGGGGAGACATGTGTGATTAAAAATGAGTGGCCAAACTAAGACTTATTTTTTCAAAAGAGAAAATGCAGATATTACACTCAGAAAAGAAATGGTAGACATATCAGTACTCTTACGGAGCGTCCACACAGCAGCGTTAAAAAATCTTGGAACGCTTCTGCCCATTCACTTTGAATAGGGGTGACGTCGCTTTGCCTCACTTTTCGCCGAACTGCATTGTGGGCAGCAGAGCGGAGATTTTCAGGATTTTCAGGATTCAAAGTTGAGCAATGTTCAACTTTTGAAGCTGAGGTGGAAGCGTCAGCCAATCAAATCCCGTGTATGCAAATCTGACAGTTCAAGCGCTAGCCAATCAAACCGCGTGTATGCTGGGAGAGACATACCGCAGGTCATTTCCTCATATTCCAAAAAATGGAGGAGAAATTAGCGGTAGGGAATCACCCGGTGCTTTATGACCAGTCCCTATTTACCTACCGAGATATAGACCGGAGGAGCCAGGCATGGAGGGAGGTGGCAGAGACAATGGTAAGTTTTCGCCTGTTTGGGGAGTTTATATCCAGTTTACTTCGGGCTTTTTTGCTTTGTATGTCGGGGGCGGGAGATTCATGTGATTGGTTGTTGGTGCCTTGCTCGCAAAAAATCCCCAAGCTTCAGATACGCCCACCTCCAAGGTTTTTTTAACGCTGCTGTGTGGACGGGCCGTTAGTGCCAAGTTGAAAGAGAATTCACTGCTCTAAACAAAGTCAAAAATCAACATACAGTAGGGGGGTGGGATGTTAGGATGTGTCCTAATCAAACCAAAAGAGAAAATGCAGATATTACACTCAGAAATGAAATGGTAGACATATCAGTACTCTTAGTGCCATTTTGTCTCAGACAATCTGCATTTCCTAATGTGGGACAGTTCTGTTCAAAATGTGGGACACTGAAAAGTCTATGTTAAAAAGCCTCAGTCACCTTAATTCATGTAATGAAAACATCTCAGGTCAGTAACACTCAAAGCTAAATGTGCAATACCATGTTCAGCTATGTTGCTATTTATAATGTTATTGTTGTTTCAACAGAAGATGTTTTTCTTTAAATTGAAGTTAAATGCATCAATCTGGTGCACTTTGAGGGCAAAATTAAGAGATTTATGGATACAGCTCTCAACACTCATATGAAACAGAACTGTTATAATAATGATGAGAAACTATGAAATAAGAAATGAATCAAATTAAAATGTAATTATCATATCATATATTATATAGTGTATTGTATTATTAAGTAATATCATACATTAACCCCATTATAGCAGATGCCACATTGAATGGATGAACACATTTATGCATCAATAATTACAACAGAGTATTTTTAAATACAAGTTGTAAAAATACTTATATGTATTTAATACTAATAACATAATGATTCATTTTACTTTCAGATGATAATACTTTTCAGGGTTAGGTCCGGTCTGACAGCGCTTAGCTCTCTGCTGCAGAGAGAAAGAGAATTCACTGCTCTAAACAAAGTCAAAAATCAACATACAGTAGGGGGGTGGGGGATGGTGAACGGTATGGTCAATGTTTGTAAACACAATCCCCAGGATGTGGGACACTGAAAAGTCTATGTTAAAAAGCCTCAGTCACTTTAATTGATTTGATGCTCATACTTTTACCTTTACAATCGTTTGCTTTAATATTATTTCTAAATACAAGTTGTAAAAATACTTATATGTATTTAATACTAATAACATAATGATTAATTTTACTTTCAGATGATAATACTTTTCAGGGTTAGGGTTAGGTCCGGTCTGACAGCGCTTAGCTCTCTGCTGCAGAGAGGAAGAGAAGATCACTGCTCTAAACAAAGTCAAAAATTGTACATCCAAACGGAATAAATATAATTAATTATTATTAATACGTTAAGTCTTGTTCATTGTTTTTCACTTTTATTAAATGTTTGATATTTACGCACAGACCCTTTCATACCGGCAATGTGCGATAGAAACAAGGGGAACTGCGACAGCATAAATATGCAAACACAAACCTACAGACTGCTGGAGAAGAGATATCACAGGGGGGGGTTGGGACACACACATTCCGATGGCCAATTAGTTTTAAACAAAGAGTATACTCAACATAGGGGGGTGGGGGCTGGTGAACGTTATGGTCAATGTTTGTAAACACTGTGAAATGTTGACTTTATTTGATCATTTCAGTTAAAAACTAACGTTCATATTTCTCTTTTTGAGAAGAGAAATATGAATATGTTAGTGGCTGACCCAGCCCCATGGTCTGTCACAGTAGTGCGGGAAAGAGAAGTGCACTGTTTTGCCTGGTTGGACATGTAATTTACAGGAAAGGAGTGCGCGCTACTAAAGAGACGCGCTACCATGGAAACCAAACAATGGTGTAGCTGTATTGAAGTCCGAGTGGAAACAGTAATATTTGGAGCGTTATGTTTGAATGAAACAGCCAGGTCGTGACTCACAAAAAAAAAGTGTTACTTCACTAACTGTAAGCTTGTCACTCAGAGTAACCTACAGTTAACTTAACTGCTGGAGAAGAAAGATCAGGGGGGGAGAGAGCTGTGGCTGATGGGCCATTAGGTGTGTAAACACACAGCTGAGAGCTGCCGTTTCATTCAGACTGTTTAAAAAACGGTAACAACGGACTATTTTTCTTAGCGGATGCATGTCAATTTAAATCAATACATACAACTACTTTTTAAATCAATAAAAACATTTTCTAAATCCATAAAAGCATTTAAATTAATATTGGGAGTCATGTCGTTACTTTGTTGAGAATGTGGCCATGTAATAAGCGGGATAATTTGCAGCGACTTGGTCATTGTGAGGAAAAATAACACCCAGGGATCAAGATCCTGATCTGCCTGACAAGGCTCCATTAAAATATAAATATCTTTAGTGAATTACTGAGTTTAGGCACGTTAATAACGTTTTAATGAAGTTGAATACAGTATATTCATATTTGTCAGTGATTTCATGTCAATTCGGCGAACATAAACATAAATGATCGTGGTGAAGATGATGATTAAATAAGGATTACAAATCGAGAGCCGGCTGCATTTCCTTTTGTTCGTTTTTTTCGACTAAACAACATTATTTTGTTAAATAACAACATGGTGATGTTTTGTAAATGATTACATGTCTTATTTAGCACAGACTATGATCCTATCCGTGACATATGGATCTTAACAAAGATCCGCTATACAGTAGTACCAGACATACTGTACATCCAGCTTACTGTATCGAAGTTGATTTCACATGACTCCAGTGTGGAACCCCACTGCACCCCCTGGTGGATCAATGATCCATTGCAGCTGGCTTCACAATAATTACATTTATTTATCACGGGGGCGGTCTCAAGTCAGACTGGAGGCTGTCTCTTGATCGCGGGCAGATCACGGGCAGACCCCGTGCCGACCACGGCCCTCGCGTGTCCTAAATGAGCTGCTACATCTGTACAGCTGAGTACAGCAGGGTCGCACGACTTCAACGTCACGCCATCTTAAGATCGATGTTAAAAAATACAGATTCAAAATTGTACAAGTTGAAGCGTTTGTTTGAACAGTTTGCAGGAGGCAGGTACTTGCTTTCAAGCAGAACAGGGCAAACAAACTTAGCGGGAGTGTTTACGTGTTCGGCGTAATGACGTACAACGTCCTCCACAACTTCTGTAGTCCTATTCAGCCACTTGGTAACAACCATCGTTTTTCAGACACGTAAACTCTTCAGAAATCACCAGTGGGGTAACTGCTGATGGATTTAATGTCCTAGAACAAAACGTGATCCGTCTCTTCAATGTGTCTCAACCACGGACCTTATTTCCAGCTATTTTCCAAAATCCTATGGAGAAATCCCATTGGCTCTGAGACGAGGGAACAGGAAGTGGTAAAATGCTAACTCACTTCCGGGTTTTAGGACTCGTCACTGCACCACCTTATAGACAGTCAGTGGTGTCTGTTCAAACGTCTCAGAGGTCTTGTATCCTTTGAAATAGAATCCAATAAAAGGAGCAGCTTAGTGCAGCTGATGTTTTGTATAATCATTCAATCATATTGTTTTGGAGGTGTGTTGTTATGGTAACAGGCATTGAGCGTGGAGTTGTCATGTAAACGAAGATGAGCGAGTAATAGATGCTGCTCAGACATGTGTGCGACATCTTAGTGCTTTGATGTGCAAATCTTCATTTATTTTTCATTCCATCAGCAGGTAGAGAACATAGTGATTAACGTGAGCTGGAACAGAGGTTTAGACTTATTTACTTTAACGTGCTGCAGCTGTGAGAGTCAGCACCAGGTGGTGGTGGTGCCAGAGCCATGGTAAAAAAAGACATTACATTATTATTAAGATAAGTGCAATAGGTTAAAGTTACATGACACAATAAGTAAAATCAACCATTAAGATACAAACTCAGAACAGCACACACACAAGTAAAATAGCTTTTTAACAATTCTTGAAAGCTAATGTAAAGTGCTGCTGCATTGGCTTTATTTAAGCCTCAGTCTCTAACAGGAGATGAGTAGACCAATGGATCAATTATATTATATTTGTATACAGGATCAGGGTCAGTGTTAGGTAGACACTCGCTCACACACACTCACCCAGCTCAGAGATGGTGTGGGCATTGATGTCACAGGGCAGCTGGACGGGCCCCTGGAAGTCAGCGTGGGGGACCCTGCGGTAGGACAGCCTGAAGCCCTCAGCCTTGCCGGCCTTGCTGGGCAGCTCCCAGAGAACCTGCACGGCCGTGGAGTTCACCACCTTGGTGAAGAAGGTGGGGGGTGTGGGCACTGAAGGGAGAGAGGAGAAACAATGTTACTGAACCTGCAAAATGCTAGCTAATGTAGCATGCAGCATGTTTAAGTACTTGTATTGCATTAGAACAGTATTTACTTCATTGGAAAAACACTCTGATGCCGTATGGACTAGTTTTTGTTCTTACAGTTTTTTCATTATGCTGTTTAAATTCTTGTTTTAGTAAGTGAAATAGAGTTAGACACACTAAACATGTAGCATTTATTATTCATTCATTATACTCTCTTTGTGTTATTATTTTTGTCAAAGCACCAATAGTCCATATGTGTCATGTTTCTTGTTCTCACCGCCCCCTAGAGTTGTAGCCCCCACAGAGAGGGACTGCTGGCTGGCTCCCAGAGGAGAGTAGGCCTTCAGGTACAGGGAGTAGGTGGTGGCGGGCTCCAGGTTGGCCACATCATGCTGGAAGGTTTCTTTACTGATGGCCTCCTGCAGCTCCAGGCTGTCCGGCTCTGAAGCACATATAGATTTGACTACTAAGTACAGATGGTGTGTTTCTACACTTCTCCTGCTCTGATGGTGCTGACACTCACCTCCTATCTTGCGGATATGCAGGACGTATCCGATGATGCTGTCAGTGACGTTGGGGGGGGGCTGGATCCAGGAGATCTGCAGGCTGCTGGTGGTCAGCGGGCTGGCCTTCAGGCCCTGGGGGGCGCTCGGCAGGTCTTTGGGCTGCGCCACGGCCAGCCGGGCACTGGCCTGGTTGGTGCCGGCACTGTTCTCTGCGATGCACTGGTAGATGGCCTCGTCCTCAGAACTGATCCGGGTCAGAGCCAGGGTGCTGCTCAGAACACAGAGAGTCAGTTCACTCCTGCTCCCGCTACTACTACTACTACTACTACTACTTCCAATTTAACCCTTATGTTGTGTTTGGGTCTCCCGTGACCCGTTTCAAGTTAAAATTATATAATAACTACGCTCTAGTTTTTTTTAACGGAACAAGTCTTCATGATATCCTCCACAACAGATATATAAACACTACAAAACTGATTTTGACAAATTTAGCCAAAAGAAAGTGTATAATTTGGTGTTCGGGTCTGGGAAGACCCAGCAGAATTGTTGTGGGTGACTCGGGTTCAAATTTGGCCCAATCAAGATTCATCTTTGACTTTAGACAAACATGTGTTTATGGTGCATGAAATATTTGAAAGCGAAACACATGGAGGCAACCAATATATTTGGGATATAGGCTAATACAAATATTGTATTGATTAAATTTAACATTACATGTTTTGAAGAGCTCACACTGATCACATTCACAGTGAGCACACACTCTGTGCAGCGCTGCCACCATGTGGCACAGCTGTGAGATGCAGGACTACATGAAGCTCTGCTGCCTGTGAGTAATGAAAACATCTGAGAATACAACTGCTACCAGTTTAGAAGATATCTTTACACATATGTATTTTCAGATTTTCGAAAACTATAAGATACATTTTCCCACCTTTCATTCATTGAATACTATAGAATCTGTTTATGTCATCTCGTGAAAACAACTAAAGAATTGGTCACAACAAAATATTATATGTTTAATATGTAACCAGTGCACCATTGAAAATGAGTCCTATGTGTCAAGTAGTTTTCCTAAATAAAAGTTAATAAAAGTAATACAAGTAATGTGATGACATCACTGCCACCTACTGTACCTGTTGTTGTTGGTCAGCTTGACGTTGTTCCCGGTCACCAGCACCTTGCCGTTCTTCAGCCAGATGAGGTGGGGCTCCGGGACCCCCTGGGCCACGCAGGTGAACACAGCGCTGCCCCCTGCTGGTCGGGACACAGACTGCGGCCACTGCAGGAACTCAGGAGGAGCTGAGGAGACACAGGGACATGAGACGAGGAGCAGAGTCACACACCATCACAATATACAACTAAAACAGTATTTGTTAACATAGCTGAAACATACCAAGGGTTCATTTATGTAGCTTAATTACACGACTTTGAATAGGATGTGCATTGTGCAGTCATATCAATTCGCTCAAAGAAGTCCGGTCCATTTAACTTCAGCTTTTGCCAAAAATCACATTCGTTTTAACTCCATTGGAATATACAATGTTATACTTTTTATTTAAAGGGGACCTATCATGCAAAATGCACTTTTGTACGTCTTTTATACATGAATATGTGTCCCCGGTGTTCCAGGGAACTCACCAAGTGTCAGAAAACACAACCCTCTCTATTTTCCTCCATACCCAAATCTCTAAAAAAGGGGCTGCAACGGATCTGATAAAAACTGATCCAGATTTGAACACTGTCCTGACGTCAGGAAAGTGGCGCTACGGCTATTGGGCCAACTCTCCACCTATCAGGGGAATGTGGGGTTGGGCCACGGCCGGCCATTGCCGCTCGAAAGCGCTGGAGACGCTGTAGTACATATGCCAGGCCTGTAAGTGGCGCTGTAGTCTGCCACAAAAGTAGCAAAGAAGACTTGGTTACCATGGTTACCCTTCTGTTTATTCTCTGCTGTGGCTTTTTTTCTCCCTCCCCGAGGCAAGCGTTTGCTCCCGCTGCTTTAATTCAATGCAATCCCTCCCCGTCGAGGCAAGCACTGTAATTCTCTCCGGTTAGTCCACCAGCAGATGACAAACACCCACCTCTCCGCCTCTTCCAAGGAACCAGGGGACCGTGCGGCAGAGTTTCAGTTTCAGTTTCTTTCGCCGGTCAAGATGTCCGTTAAAGTTTAAATCTTCCGGACAAAATTAGAAAAGTGCCGGTCAAAGGTCTTCTTTGTTATTTATTGAGCTTTAAAACAAATGAATAACGACTCTATATAATAAAACACGGAGGACGGAGATCTCTTTTTCTCCCCCTCTTCTGACAGCCCAGCAGCTGATCAGAGCACGTCTCCCCTCTCCTGCAGGGGGGCGTGGTCAGCAGAATCAGACCCGTAGACAGCAAACAGCACATAGAGCGAAATGAGGCATGGCTAAAATGCATGATCTGTTTGGTATTTTGAAAACAGAAACGTATAAATATACCTTATATAGGTATGGCCCTACAATATATCATTTAAATATAGCATGATAGGTTTCCTTTAAGAAAGTAGTTTAAAAAGTCCTGATGGAGACAATTCATGTGAAATAGCTTTTGACTTGCAACAATGGGATCTATATGGAACCTATACTTTGAAATCCTTTCCTTCAGAAATACATTGAACATTAGTTAATCAATCTTTGTCACACACACACACACACACACACACACACACACACACACACACACACACACACACACACACACACACACACACACACACACACACACACACACACACACACACACACACACACACACACACACACACACACACACACACACACTCTCTCAGATGTAGGGTGACTTCTCCTCCTGACCCCCCAGTTCAATATTAGAGACACAATGAACATGCATATAAATGCGGGGTGGTAGCCAACAAAGCCCTAAAGCCCCCCTCCCACGCTCAGCGCCTCAATCATCTTTTGACCTTAACAGCCTGTGTGACCCCCCCAGCCCCTAAATATGGGCCGAGGGGGGTGTGTTTTAAGATGACCATTTCCATAAGAACACTCGTATCACTGCAGCCAGGGGGTTCTTTATTATATCAGTCACAGCTCTCAAAACTATCCCATAAGGCTGGAGTGATGATGTCACCCTGCAGGTGTGTGAGGTTGTTTACATGGTGGGGTGAAGAAGAGATGGTGTCAGCTGTGAGGTCTCAATAAGTAGATCTAGATTTGGATATGCTGATAACATATCGAAAGCACTGTGTAGCTCCAAACATCAGGTTATGGAGGGGAGAAAAACATTATCGAGGTTTTCACGTATATGAGTATTTGGAATGTATTGCTACACATTGGAAGCCACTCACAGATGGACTCTCACAAATACTATTATCTGGTGAGTTAGGAGACACGTTGCTTTTGTGCCAGTTAAGTTTGAACATTTCTTATCTGATGAGTTGAAGTTGGGGTTTCTTCAAATCTAGACAAGAACACTGATTCAGAACGGGAACACACTTATCCAAGATACAGTATATGAGTAAAGTTACTTCACAAAAATAGCAGACATTGTTCAGTCCTATGCTGCTATTAAAACTTCCACATCAGTTATTGGCTGGTAAGATCACTTTCACCCAGTTACACCGTGTTAAGTTAGTTTCGGCAGTGAGAACTAACTGGGTATTACACCAACAGTGTTGCTATGGTAACCTGCAGTCTAATATACAGTATCTTCTGCAAAAATTAAACACAGAGTTTGTGGTATTATCTATCATGTGTGAATAAATGAACTCCTGCCAATCACACATTACATAGTATTTTTGGTGGCCATGTTTAATGTTGTTATCATCGTAATGCAGCTTTGGTCAGTAATAATGTGATGTTCATTTGATCTGTAGAAGATTGACTCACAACTTGCAAAAGCACCCATTTATGAAATAAAGGATGACGTTTCAGACTGTGTTTCCTTTGTTATCAGGTCTCTCTGTGTGTGTGTGTGTGTGTGTGTGTGTGTGTGTGTGTGTGTGTGTGTGTGTGTGTGTGTGTGTGTGTGTGTGGTCATTATCATTGTCCCGTCACCGTTAGAAAGTGTCAGTCTGAGCGTCCGTCAGTGGATCCATACTATTGATCCGTGATGCTGTTGACCTTGTGGTTTCCCCCCCTCCCATACACACGTTTATTTCCTTTTTGTTTTGTTTGCAGCCAGCCAATCACCTGTCACTGTTCAGACAGGCACTGAACATAAACCCTTTCCATATGTGAGTCATCCTGTGTCATTTTCCTCATAGAACTGAACATAACCCAATAAAAGACTCTTTGCAGCTTATTGCAATAATATTCAAACTTTATTCAGATGTTGAACCCATTTTCATCACAGGGGCAACATCATTGTATTACTTTTGAATTATTTTATTATTTTCAACACATTTGGGCAATAATGAATGTGTCCCAGCGTGTGATGCTCCATCTCTAGTGTGGGAAAGATTTTGTTGCATATTGAACGTGAGAAATGTTTTGAGGCGCTCAGCGGGATCTGCATGACAAAAGCTGTGCGGCTCATCTGGTGTGCAGAACAGGGAGGGGTGTAACACAGGAACCTCCAATATGGTCGTCCATCCTTTGTGTACCCCCCTCCGAGGTGACACCCCGGCTGCCCTGACCCCTCCGCCGGGTCGCTATTCACCCCCAGTTTTCCCTAATTAACTCTGGGACCACACCCCCCTCTCTCCACTTCCCTATCTGTCCATCCTGACTCCGCCCCCTCCTCCCTCACCTCAACCGTTTCCACAGACAGTCCTCCTGTCGGGGGCAGGGGTCAGGGTCACAGGTCATCAATCCCCCCCACCCTCCCCCCCATGCACCTTGCACCCAGCATTGACCATCGAGCTGTCCGCCACTTCTTTGTCTCTTTGTTTGTTGTCTTCTTTGTCCCCTCGGCCTGACCATGACCATGGACACACACACACACACACACACACACACACACACACACACACACACACACACACACACACACACACACACACACACACACACACACACACACACACACACACTTTCTGATCCCCCTGAACTTGACTTCAGATGGAAACTAAAGTTCACCTTTACTGTGACTCAGCACAAAGTCTCTGCACCGTCATGCTGTATTCTTTGAGTTGTTACAAAACACAGATGCAGAGCAGAAACGTTCCTAATTTCTCATCAGGCCAAGCTATGGAAACCTATTTCTAAATACTTCAAAATGTAAACACTTGTTTGATACATTTGAACATTTCTCTGTTCTTCTACTACACGACTAAATAAGAGTGCATTCCATTTCATTTGGAAGGGCGTAGGCCAAAGAAAAGAGCCCTTAAATATTGGAGTGGATCAGAATCACAGGGATAATACGTTATGTTACACTTTCATATATATTGCTAGACAGGGCATTTATGCTGCATTCATTTTGTGTCAGAATCATTTGAAATATCTGTTCTCGGTTCATTCTGTCTAAAGAAACAGGACCAACACAGTATGGTGTGTAGAATTTAACATAAGCACTTTGTTTTTCTCAGTCTTTGTGAAACCTAACTGTTCTTATTCTGCAATCAGTGCACACATGTCAATTAAAGCAATCTCCCTTTTCTCTATGACTACAACTTCTTCCTGCACTTTGAGAAGCATCATTTCACAAAATCGAAGTGACACTGAGCTGAGTGCATACATGTTAAACACACTTCCCAGCACACAAATCCTTATTGTAAAGTTTTCTCTCAAACATGCTCTATATGAGACACATCATCACATCATCTGCATATCAAGAATGAGCTACGATCTCCACACTTACTTAAACAGAGCAGTATTCAGCCAAATGAGCCAGTTTTAACGGTGATTATAGCTTGATGTAATCTCAGCTCTCACTAATGCAGTTCTTTTAATAATGTCATTTTGGAGGCACCACTGCAGAACAAAAGCCAAAAGCTGTTTGGTATCTTGATGAAACTGATCAATAAATTAATGAATATATTATAGATCAGCCCCTTCTCCCTTCTTCTATATTAGAGGGGGTTAGTATTGATTGATCCGGTCAGAGAGTCTGACAACAGCAACATTGACATGGATAGATGAAGGCCAAGCTACATTTTATGAATATTGATTTGTGTAGTGGAGATTAAATCAATCTAAAGCAGTGTGCTTCAGCTGTTTTGATTTCAACTGCTAGGCATTGTTTAAAGGTATAGTACAGATCATCCACTGTAATTCTCTCAAATCATGTAATGATACTAAATACACTCCCTGTATCTGTGCACCCTACAGCACCAGCAGTCCAAACAGCGAGAGGGGTCCAGGAGGAGAAACAAGAGCATTTACATGATGATACAGATCATGACCTAGTTTAAACATACTGTTATCAAATGTTTTATTGAACTACTCATGTATGCTGTTCATACACATTACATTTTTACATGACATTTAGCTGACGCTTTTATCCAAAATAACTTACAATAAGTGCAACAAACCATAAAGATTAAAACTAAGGACAACAAGAACAGTAATGACACTTTAAACAAGCAAGATCATTGTTAGTACTACTGCATCAGTTTCACTTTTAAGTGCGTTTTTTAGTTTTTTGTTGCTACATTTAAATGTTTTTCCTGCATTCGTTTGTCAGCAGTTTGCAAAGTATAAACTACAGAACCAAACAAAATATTGTCAGATTTCTTTATATTTGATCTCTTTCTGTGACCATCATGTCTTTAACTGCAGCTGGGCATGTGGACTCTCTCAGGCTGAGGACATACGGGAGAGATATGAAAACAAGCCAGCACCTAAATTAGAAATATCATTCTGAAGTATACAAATGTACACAACATAGTGGGTATAATAAAATGATGCTAATAGGGCATTATATAAATGTAGGATCCTTTGGGGCTCGACTCATTCTGGGGTCTAATGGCGCTTTTCCACTGCAGCACTGTGGTTTGTACTTGTTTAACTTTTGTCTAGTTTCTGAACATATATGAGGAGCTGTGAGCTCTGAGTGCTAACAGCTAACGGCTGATGTTTTGGTTTTGTGGTTCCCATTGAAGATGACGTCACGGCAGTTTTACACAGCGTCGCTCCGCCCGCCGAACAGCCGATCGCCCCGCCTACACTGCGTTAGTTACTACCCCAGTTCCTAAACTGTAATGGAAACGCAGCATAAAGTGAGCCTGGCCTACCAAGGCCTAACCATACCGTACTAAGCCGTGCTAGGTCCTGCAGTGGAAAAGCGCCATAAATGAGTGGAAATATTGGCCTTTGCTGCATGCTATTGACTCTCACAAGGAAGTGAAATGGACGTTGTACCGCCTTAGTGTTCTTGTGACTGCCTGTAGAATTGCATTGTTCTACAAGTATTCATATCCTTCACTTAATTAACTACAAAGACGCTCAATGTAAAAGTGTTTTTACATTTGTTTTGTAATATAATCTTCATCTGCATGGAACTACCGATGTCAGATGAATAAACATCTGTGTCTGTGTGCAGTAACCTGTAGAGGATAGAGGAAGTGCATGATGCTTTTAAGGCTTTTTCACAGAGCATAATCCTGGCTGCAGATCAGATGACCTCCAGTGACATTAACTCACTCCAGAGAGATTCCTCCTGCTAATGAGAGCTTCATCATTGTAACACTCGTCATGCAACCCAGTCTCACGGCATTTCGTGTTATAGTCACGAAATGTAATCTATTGATTCGTGTTCACCAACACGATTTTCCCCTTTTTTTCGTGTCACACAGAACGATTTTAAAAGCAATGTATTTCTATTGGTAGTATGTTTCGTGCCTGCACCACGTCTTTTTGTCCGGTCGGGTCTTGGAAGACCGGAAGCTGTGTGGTTCATAAAAACATGTTCTTACTCAATATCAAGCCACGATTATTGTTTTTATTTTAAATCGTATAATGTCGGACTTTTTTTGCCGTCCGTGAGGAAAATAAATGGCTCAGAGCCTCAGAATACTGAAATCTGTATTTTTTAAATCTTTTTTTCCTTCTAATTTGTTATTCTTTTCTACATAACACACTGTTATTTACTCAACAATAACACACAATTATCCTTGTTTTTATTTATTTGTTTAATTCTATAATCTCTGGCTTTTTTGGCGTCCGTCAGGAACTGAATTTCAAAATAAAATAACCGGAAACAGACGTAGGCCTATATGGGACATTTCGAGCATCATTGCAATACACAGCCACTGAACTGATTACCCAAGATCCTCAGCTATGGTTTAAGCTCGGTGATTGGATGTTTTAGCCGCAATGCACGTTGGGATATGGTGTTAGTGCGATATGAAATCCGAAAAACATTTCGGAGTTTAGGATGGCAGAAGACACTACACTACCCATAATCCTCAGCTATCGTTTGGGACTACAGTCCCCGTGATTAATCTTCAAGCTCTGGGATTGGATGTTGGAGTGGCAGTGCGCCAAGGTTACGCCGAGCGTCAAACAGCTCTTTGAAATGGAACGAAACCACGGCAGACTATCCAAAACTGGACTCTAACAGGACCAACCCCCCCCCCCCCAGAACTACACATGCTGGCTATTGTGTTTCGCAACATGTTCTATGGGACGTCTCTACTGGGAACGTTTTCGTTTTTCCCACAATTAGAAGTTGCCAGTATTAAACACTGGCACACTGTTATCAAATTTAAAACATATAATTAATAAATGGGTGAAAATTGCTTGTGTCCATAATGGGCAGCATTAATATATACCCACATGCCAGCTCATTGTTTATTTGTAATTCTACTCCACTACAATTCAGAGGTTAACCTGGTATTTCTACTCCACTACATTTATTTTAGTTACTTTGCAGATTCTGATTAATGATGTGAAATATAAACAACCCTTAAATCAGACTTTAGTTACACCTGAGTCAAATTCAGAAAAGGTGATTGTCAAGTGCCAACAATCAGGACAGATATTTGATAGCTGCTGCTTGAGAAGACTAAACATTTATCTGCAGATCCCTATAAAGTATATTCATTACTCATTATTCTCTACTAATAGTTCATTAAAGACTGTATATAATGGCTATTTTTCACATCCCTTTCAAGATTTCAAGATTTTCAAAGGTTTATTGACATTGACGTTGTAGTTATGCAATGATGACAAACTTGGGTTGCAGGTTCCTCAACAGCATTACAAGACATCTAACAATATGTGTGTATACCTCCACCATTAAACACACACACACACACACACACACACACACACACACACACACACACACACACACACACACACACGTGTGTGTGAAAATGTGATACTATATACTTCTACGCCACTACATTTTAGAAGCCAATATTGTACATTTTACTCCATTACATGTAGTTGACATCTTTAATTTACTAGTTTAGATTTAAATATAAGTCAATTATCAAATAAACATTGACATATATGTATAGGTTAAGATAACCAGCAGCAGTAAATAAAGTTATTAAAATGAAGTCTACTTTCACCAGCTGTGATAAAAACACATCAATAATCATAATAGTAACCCAGATGGGCCATTATGCATAACGAGTACTTTTACTAAAAGTAAAAGTAGAACATCTGAGTACTTCCTACCCTCTGGTTCCCAAGCCAAACATTTGTATGTTTATATATAATGAAATACATTTATATTTAGTGTGTCTGCAGAGATGCACCATGCCCTAAGCTGATGTTTCACCTCAATGTGTGCAGTACAGAGCTAGCACCAGGGCATGCTTAGCCTAGCTTAGCACAAACACTGGGAACAAGGCTAAACAGCGTAGCTTTACCAAAAGTTGAAAAATACTTCTTCTAACGTCTGACTGAGTGAGTATACTCATCATTTGGTGGAGTCTTGGCTGGATAAGTAGTACTGTTGCCTATTTGAAAAATAAATAGGTAATTCTTCTTCTATATTCTTAATAATAGAATAATAAAGTAATAATAATAAAATTAAATAGTCCACAATCTGTCAGAGCTGGTATTTGAATTATACAGTTTTTCCATCATATTTGTAATTCTGGATGTTTAAAGACAGCCTTCAAAATAAGCAGACATTTTAACAATGAATGTACAATAAGACCATAATAGAAAAGCTTTAACGATTTTTTTGCAACAATCTCCTCAACCGATGTAGACATGGTAACAAATATTTCCCATACTATAAGACAGTTACTTGTTAACAAAGTGCATTGCATGTGAGTTAGTATAACACCAGTGGCCAGTACTGATGTCTAGTAAGGAGCTCTAGAAGAAGAACACTAAAGCAGTATATCTTTATGGCCTTACCTTGTACCACGAGTCGACCGAGGGCAGTACGCCTCATCCTGGTGCCGGGCCGATTGGCAGCACACACATACACCCCGGAGTGCTGCAGGGAAACATCTGAGATCATCAGGTTCCCCGTCCCCAGGACCTGGATCCCCTCCACCCCGATGGAGCGCCCGTCTGATGGAGACACCGACGATGTTTGTTTAATAAAACTTAAAACAAGCTGTTATTACCTAATCTTCCTTATATTCCTCTACAGACTCTATTATAAATGTCCAATGGTACCTAGCCTGCTCCAGGAAACAATGGGCCTGGGGTTTCCTGAGGCGATGCACTCCAAGATGGCCGTCTGATGGACAGTGATGGTCAGATTCTGGGGTCCGGACAGGATGAACGGCTCTTTGTAGGTTCGGGGAGCCCCACCTGCAATATAGGAAAAACAAAGAGTGAATATAGAGAATTCATTTAAGGAATCTTTGTTGACTGTTGACAGGAATATCTGAAGTTGTACTGGCAAGAAATTCTAAGATTTATTGCAGTGTTACACAGCGTACTTTTACTGTTTATTACTCGATTCTGATTGGTCAATTTGGATATTTAGTGAATTGCTCTTTTTCCGATAATAGACTGTTGCTAAGGACGCTCTGATCAAGGGACTATGTCCAGTTATATCAATCCGCAGAAAAGTTCAGTCAATTTAACGTCAGTTGTGATAAATAACCTTTTTTTGTTTTTCTTTGTCAGAAAACACCATGGAATACTTTGGATTCATGATGGCTAAACTGTCCCCAGAAAACGAAAAGAAAAAGAAAAAAAGAGGTGGAAAGAGGTTAAAAGACAGAGAGTGCTGGACAACAACAAAAAGAAGACAGACAGGAAGTAAACACTAAAGGGAACAGCAGAAGAAGACAGACAGGAAGAAAACACTAACAAGAACAGCAGAAGAAGACAGACAGGAAGTAAACACTAAAGGGAAAAGCAGAAGAACACAGACAGGAAGTAAACACTAAAGGGAACAGCAGAAGAACACAGACAGGAAGTCAACACTAAAGGGAACAGCAGAAGAAGACAGACAGGAAGTAAACACTAAAGGGAACAGCAGAAGAAGACAGACAGGAAGTAAACTCTATGGGAACACTGTATGGGCTCTGGCTGTGATTGAGACTGGTTCCTGGAGAAGAGCTAACCTTATATTATCCCTTAAGTGAAGATAACTCCATTTATATGTACATAGAAATGTTAAATATATCCTTACAAGTACTAGCCAGAGGGAATAGAACTCTTTATCCTTGGTCACTCCACAAATTCTTAACTTAACAAGTATATCACTTCATGTGTGTCCACCCACCAGTGATGTTGAGCATGGCCTCGTGGCTGTAGCGGGTGTTAGCTATGTTGGTGGCAACACAGCGGAACACTCCGGCATCCTGCTGCCTCACGCCTGACACCTGAAGAACACCCATGGGCAGGAGAGTGTATCTGTGTAGGGAGAGGTGGGCAGGCAGGTGAGGCACAGGAAACACATTTGTATAGTTATGTATGTTTTGTACTTGAATAAACTAATGTGGTGTAACACAATGTAACACACAAGACACCTGTTACAGCACAGTGTTGTCTTGATCTTGCTTTTTGTGTTCCCTGATTTAGTTGCACAACACTCTCTTTGTGTCATGTCTTGTTTCACTTTCTGTCTTGGTTGTTTCCTAGAGTTTCGTGATGGTTTGCCCCGCCCTAATTCGTATATATGTACTTTATGATACATGTTGACATGTTCAAAGATTGTAGGTTTAACACTAACCCCTGAGAAATTATATGAATAAACAGACCATAATTACCAACCATGTCCAATCAAATTGGAGATAAAGGTTCCCACTATTTAATAAGGTTTGAAATCCTTCATGCACCATTCAATCCTAACCTTAAAAGTAGAGTTTTATGCCATATAATGTACAATAAAAGGTCTTAAACTTAACGTATCAGTGATTGTAATCTTGTAAATGTCGGTTCTTGTCTTTGGCCTAGTTGTATTTGAGTGTGTACAGTAGCAGTAGAAGCAGCAGCTGTCTTCCCACACTGTGGTGCAGGTGTGTATTGTTCTACCTGTTGTCGGTGGTGTTGAGGCCCTCTCGGCCCCTCTCCCAGCTGATGTTGGCCTCAGGAACCCCGTTGATCTGACACTGGAAGCGAGCTACGCCTCCATCGTCCACAGACATGGACAGAGGGTGGGTGTGGAACTTGGGAAGAGCTGCAGGGCAAAACACACACACATCAGTCTAATGAGCCTGGATACTGTAGAAACATTGACAGGGCATACTATCAATTCAGAGGGGTTGACCACTCGTGATTACCCTTAGTTCTCCCATAAACACGGTTTATATCTTTAGTGTAATGTCTATAATGCAGGTTAACGGGGGAAACAGATTACATGTAACGAGAAGATGTAATCAGGATACAAACATAGTTATCAGATTACTGTTACATATTTCAAAAATAGAGATTGCTAGCAGGATTACAGCGTTACAATACATTTTAAAATGAAGATGGATATGTTATACATAGACTTCCTGAAAGAATGTTCTTTATGGTTTATATTTAGGCTACTTAAATTCTTCTTTCTTTTAAATACATGCAGTAGGTGGACACCAGGTGGATGTATTAAACAAAAATACCGTCTATGCTTTCGATGAATGTATTAAGCTTAAACAGCATGTGTAAACTATTACTGTTACTACATTTCCGATATGAAATATCTTGGTTTCTTCTTTTCTAAGGTTACATTGTTGCATAAAGCTAAAAACATCTAATTGTTATTTTTTTTTATCTTGCATTCGATATTGAGGTTATCCAAAAGTAACTGAAAGTAATCAGGTTACATTACTTTATATTTTGATACATCTTTGGACATGTAACTAGTTACTGTAACGGTTTACATTTTTAAAGTAACCCTCCCAACCCTGGTCTTATGTAGCTTAAGAGGATGAGTCAGAGCTCATGTAGCATTCTGCATGCACACTTTAAGAATATATATGTTTTCTTCTACCCTGTGACCCTTCAGTACATAGAGAACCACACACACACACACACACACACACACACACACACACACACACACACACACACACACACACACACACACACACACACACACACACACACACACACACACACACACACACACACACACAAGGTTTCTAATGACCTGCTGGCCTTAATCAATAAGGTGTGTACAATAGAGGAGTGTTCTGCAAATGAGACAGCAGCACCATGGCAACTTATTGCATTGAAGTAAGACCACCTCAAGATACCCATAATTCTACAGGATTAACCATAAACCCCTGGTTTTATGGTGTGATTGAAGGGAGTAGGAAGCACAAGGTTGTATGCAGTGCAGGTGTGTGTGTGTGTGTGTGTGTGTGTGTGTGTGTGTGTGTGTGTGTGTGTGTGTGTGTGTGTGTGTGCGTGTGTGTGTGTGTGTGTGTGTGTGTGTGTGTGTGTGTGTGTGTGTGTGTGTGTGTGTGTGTGTGTGTGTCAAATACCAACCACTGCTCGATGTGATAACCAGCTTTGGGTACAAGTGTAGATATAGCATAGTCATATTCAGAAGTCTTGGCCATGTATATCCAGGCTGAAGACTTTTCTTTTTGCCGCTGCTTTTAATTGAACTATTCACATCTTAAACTGCACTGTAACTTTTATCCATGTATTTTTTCTTTTAATGTTTATTTTATTATCTTTTCTTTTTAATGACTGATTTTAAATGCCATTTTCTTAATGTCTTCCATTTTTGTAAAGCACTTTGAATTGCCTTGTGTTGAAAGGTGCTATATAAACAAACTTGCCTTGCCTTGCCTTGCCTATATAAATGCACCATGATTGGTCTGAGAATTGCTGGAATGTCAAAGAGAAAAGCCAAACAAATTGCCAAATATTGCTCTGTTTCAGCTATTATTGGCTGCTTAGCCGTGTGGAGAAGGAGATGCTATGTGTTCCCTTAAGGCTGCTGCTTAGCCGTGTGGAGAAGGAGATGCTATGTGTTCCCCTAAGTGTTCTGTGCTGCTTAGCCCTGATATATTTGATTCCCTGTCTTATGTAATATAATTTGTGGAACCAAATAAAGTATTCAAATGTGTGTGTGCGTGTGTGTGTGTGTGTGTGTGTGTGTGTGTGTGTGTGTGTGTGTGTGTGTGTGTGTGTGTGTGTGTGTGTGTGTGTGTGTGTGTGTGTGTGTGTGTGTGTGTGTGTGTTGAGCACATGTAGGCGAGTACAGTAATGTAGATCTACATGTGCTGGTCAGTGTAATTTATAGTTTTTTATAATGAGAGCTGGTATGTTTGCTGAGGGGTTTGTAACCAGGCGCCTGTTCCTCTGACAACAAAGGATTAAAGAGCCTGGGGGGGGCTTTGGTTTCTAAGTATGATGCAGAGGTGTGCACCATGTGAAGCATCATTTATAACAAGGACTATTGGATGTTTTGACAGGAAAAAGGCAACATGCGGCGACTATCTGTGGGACATCCCCCCTGCTTTAGGGTTCGGCTCGTGGTGAATGAAGGTATTTGTATATTAAAATACGTCAGGAATTGTCTTTTTGGTTATTTAATAAATACAATCCACCTCCTATCCTGCATCCATAAAACAAGAACCCTCAATAAAGCAAGGACGGTGTGATGTTCAAGTTAGCAGGACTAGAGAGTGATCAATGACTGTTACATCACTGTAGTGAAGGTCACTATTATGGGAAGATCCCTTTGGGCCATAGGCCAGGGAGGGGCTTGGGGGTACTTAAGCTCCCCCTAGAATAGCCATAGCGTCCCTACCATCACCCCCAAGAAAGCTCTGTGGTTTATTTATAACATTAACATTTATTAATCAGAGCATTTGTGCTGCAGGGGGATGCCCATAGAAACACATTTTGTATCCAGAGGTGTTTGTATGTAGGCTGGTTTGTGAAGCTTATCTATCCCTTCAGCTATGTATGTCACCTTGTGTTTAACACAGAGGGACATTGTAACAGGGTGTACTGTTACTGTTATTTACTCGTCCCTGTTGTGTGACTGTTTTTCCTTTTAGCCGCCTCTTCCTATTGTAAAGCGTCTTTGGATTTCATGAAAGGCGCTATATAAATCTGATCATTATTATAACTGCGTACCTGTGTGCTCGTGTATGTCAGTGGTGTTGCAGAACACATTTGGTTGTGGTGGACTGGACATTAGTGGGAAACCCTACATTTCAGAGCATCCTCAGGCTCACTGAAAACTCAAGCAACCCCACAGCACCAGCAGTGGTGTGTCACTTTTGGATCAGTATCAGTATTGTGATCACCTGGTGGCTGACTGGCTGCTTCGAAGTCTATTGTAAATGACTACTAAAACTCCAAAGATGTCCCGAGGAATGTGTACTGTGTCTGAGACAGAGACTATGAAGAAATACTGAAATAGGCACAACTATGTGCGTATTAACCAGAAAAGAATGTGCAAACCGGCTAAATGTAGCTGCCTTTTTGTTGTGTCTCATCAAATGTGTTAGTCATGTTTATGTATTTTGTCTGTCATTTCCTGTTTTATTTTGTACTTACCTCTTGTCTTTCATTTCAGGCCCTGTTTCTTCCTCCCCTTGTGTGTTTTTCCCACCATCATCAGTGTCTGCCCCGCCCCTGATTGTTTCCACCTGTTCCCACTCCCCTCATGTTTAAATAGTCCTGTCTCTCCCCTGTCCTGTGTCAGTTCGTCTTGTTTGTTTCTCCGAATGGTCGTGCCAAGCCTCAACTCAGAAAGGATCGCTTTCTCTCTTGACAGGTTTTGTTATTTTGTTTATTTTGTTAGGCTTAAGTTTTTATTAAGTCCTCTTTTTGTTACGCCTAGTTTTTTCCTAATTGTGAGCTCCTTTTGTTATTTCCACCACCTACTCTGTTAAGAGGGATTACCTGAACTGTGATAATAAATAGACTTTTTTTATATATTCAAGACTTTGTCTCTGGGTCGTGCATTTGGGTTCATCAGTTTGTGTCGAGGTCCTGACACTTTTCTTCTCAGGTTCTCTTCATTTAATAGCTAGCCTGGGAATGTGATTTGAATGGTTACTGTCATTGCAACAACATTGCAAAAAACAATTGCTGGTCAAGAACATGTTGTGTAAAATGAAATATGAATCTAAATTCAGAATGTAACATTCACTTGCTGGGTTGCAGCATCAAACACTTACATGCCAAGTGGACCTTGGCCTTGCGGCTGACGATCATGCCGTAGCGGTTCTGAGCGGCGCACTCGTACTCGCCCATGTCCGCGTCGCTTCCCTCTCTGCGTTTCTGGAAGCTCTGGATGAACAGCGTGCCATTGGCCAGCACCTGGACCCGCTGGCTGGCGGGGAAAGGAACCCCGTTTTTTCGCCACGTCACCATGATGGGCTCCTCGCCCGTCACCCCACAGTCCAGCAGGAGCGGGCGGTCCCTCACTGCGATCACATCGCTGGGCTCCAGCAGGAAGGACAGCTCTGAGGCCAGACACACATCTGAGGGGGGGAGAAGAATCATCAGAGAGGGAGACACTGAATGATACATGTCTGCTTACTTGACCATCCAGAGTCCAGAATCCAGAGTAATATTCAAACCCACAAATGTAATCAGGCTCATACTCCCTTTAAACCTTCCGGAACCTTAGGGAAGTGAAGGAAGGCGCATTAAAGACCAAGACATTCATCTCTTAGAATTGAAAAACATTTAAAAATTGAAACGTTGACTTTAATTAAATGTATTATTTCAACAGATTACTTTATTATTAGGGTAGTTGATAGCAATAATATTAAGTTGAACCAATTACTTTTTATTTAAACGTTGTATTTATGCTTTCAACTAACCTAATACAATTATGTGTAATCTGTTGACATTATACATTTAATTCAAGTTAATATTTCAGTTTTTTCTGTGTATCTTGAGATCACTAACAGTATAACCTATTTGTCCTACAAACACACACAACTATACAACAAACGTGTTGCTAGCTAGTTAAAAACATTGCTAATGTGTGTACTGTAGATGTTGTCATGGATCAACTTTAGTTCACTTAAAGTATAGACCCAGGAGTCTCTGCATACTTGCAGTAACACAGCATTAAGCTCTACACTTGTTGCATTGGCTGTTTTTTGCAAATAAATCTGAACTGCACAAACTTGTTGAATCCACAGCTGAAGAAACCAGTCTTTGAGAACAGTATAACTTTCTGCTCTAACACAGAATGAGTTGTTCCTGGAACAGAATCTTCTAACTGCAGGACGGATTTGTTTAAAGGCGTTGGGAGGATTTGGTCGCTAACGGGAAATTGTACCTATCTTTCATCCCAAACGCACAATCATCTTATGGTTCCAGAGACAATAGCACAAGAGGGGGCTTCTCTGTCGGACACCGAGCCCCAGAGAAACCCATCTAAACTGCTTGAAAACCCTCACTCTACACCGGGAGCGATCTCACTGATTGATGGTGCACTTGGTTTTGCGGCCTGAACTGCTTTAGGAAAGGCGAGCCACAATAGAGGCTGGATGCCAGAGAGCCAACCAGCCAGAGAGGGCAACAACAATACCCGAGTGGGGGGAGAACACTGGCCAGGGTCAAGTTAGGAGACCCTTATTGAAGCGGGGCCGAGTGTGACAATAGTGTTGTGACTATGCTGATTTGCACCTCACCCACAGCAACCTCTGTAAAAACTCCCGTCAGCCACCATGCACCCAAGGGCACCATCTGCCCCTTCTAATGCATCCCTCCACCCCCCCGCCTCTCCCATCCTTTCAGATCCATCTCCGAGGTGACTTTCCCATGCCACCGGAGCCCTCTGCCTCACCCTTGTCCCCTCCCCTGTGTGACCTTGGTGACATTTGCAGTCTACGTCTTTCTTTTTTGGTGGTAATGTCCTCATATGCAAAGCGAGCCCTTGATAAAGCCGCTTTCCTTCCCAGCTGTAAGACAGTGACAATGGCCGTTGCACTTGAACCTGCACAACTCCTAATCAATGTCACCCTGGAGTTCTGCATCTGTTTATCCCCGGCCGGTCCACTCAACATGAGCTGTCTCACAACACTTATTGTTCTCACACACAGACTTGCAGCTGAACTTGGCCCCTGCATGTCTGTTTCTAGTGATAGCCCTTTTCACTCTGAAACAATGAACAAATCAGTACACATTTATTTTATCATTGATTTTAAATCTTTCTTCAAAATAAAAAAAAACGAGTCTCACTTAGTTTAGTGGTGAAAATGCAGATACCACCAAGTTTGAAAAAGCAGCAGAAAACTCTGTCTCTGGGATTTCAACCTCTACACGAACACAACAGGCTTTACAACGAGATATTACATAACATATTTCAACAGAACATGACTTTCCAGAGTCCTGTCACTGATTATAAAAGGCAGTATCAAGGACACTGATTCTAGAAACAGATGCCACTGTTACGTTTTTTTAAATGTTATGTTTCAATGGTATCTCCAAACTTGGACAAGTTGGACCAAAACAATTTCCATAAAGAAAGACATCTTAAATGCCAGAGTGTGAGGAAAATGTGACTTTTTGTTCTTTGTTAGAACTGCTAAAATATCTTCCACATTAGTTACATTTAACATAACCTCTTCCTGTTGGCTAAACACAATGAGGGGTATGGACTGATGTGACATACCATTACCACAAAGTCACACATTTTAACATGACATTGTTGTATGCCTTTTCACTTATAAAACACAGCCTTCCACACAGCTTGGACATACAGCAGAACTGCCCCCCCCCCTTCATGATCTTTGCCATCGTCCTGACATTTAGATTTGAGCATCTGCCTTATTCCCAATGAGAGACCAGCAGATGCAGCCAGCAGCAGAGAGGATGCTGGTTCTGGGCTGATATAATCCCCCCACTGAGCCTCCCATCCCTCAGGCCTGGTAATGAAATTCAGGACTCCCACGGGGGAACTTGCATTGCGTTCTGTTGGAAACAGGGTGTTGCAACCTGTGAGGCCGAGCAGAGCCTAGTATTTAAACAAGGTTATGTCATAGTCGACTATTTAAAGGCATTGCTCTATAAAATTAAGATGACCATTTCATATCTGTCTCTGTTTTCTTCTTATTGATCAACCCCCATTCTACATGTCAGTCGCAGGTTGAGAACTCACTGCAGGATCAACTGCTTGATAATAAAGTTTATATTGCTTTTTGTTTAGATATTGTCTTGTAAAAGAAATCACAACTCAAGATGTGCTACACTGAAACAACTTGAACGTTGACTTTAATTCAATGTTTTACGTCCATGTATAATATTAAGTTAAACTTGAACTTAATATTATTGCTTTCAACTATCCTAATACATTCATGTGAAATTTGTTGACATAAAACATTTAATTAAAGTCAACGTTTCAGTTTTTTCAGTGTATCAGAGAAATCCAAGACATGAAGCAACATAAGGATGTATAACCATTTGCATATACATATATATATGAAGGATGTTAGAAAACAACCTTGAGGCACTTCAGACTAGTTAAATGTTGCCTTTTCTAGTTCCCACAAACGGACTCTATGAGGTGGGTTAAGAGCACAGCGTTGAGAGTGCACTATTTTCAATATAGATGGCTGGTACCATAATGAGATTTATTTAAGTGTGGGGGATGACCAGCAACCCCCCACACTTGCACCCTGTGTTTGGAACCCCCCTCCCCCTCAGGGGTCATGAGTCAGAGGTGAGGAGGATGGATTTGCAGATGAGGGTGGGGGGGGGGGTGGCAGTCTGTGTCCAGCCTGAGTGACTCTCCCAGCCTCCACTGCTATTGTTCAGCTGGAATGAAGTTCACAGATTTCTGCCCACCCCCCATTAACAAGAGACAGAGAAAGTGAAGGGAGTCCTGAGATCCTTGCACTAAGTTATTTTCCTCTGCCCGCTCTCTCCCTCGCTTTCAAAGGCACATTTGGAGGGCTAAATAGATTTTAGCTAGGAATGACAAGAATGGAAATAAGAAATATTAAGTTAAGGATGGGAAGGTGGGAAAATGTAGGCAGGGCAAGCTGTGATCTGGCCTTGATCTTCATCCTTTGTCCTCCTCATGGGAGTGAAACTCTCAAACTATTGTAGTGGCTTAGGGTTAGGGTTAGGGTTAGGGTTAGGGTTAGGGTTAGGCTGTAGCGGGCTTACCCAGGCCTTTTGGTCATTTTGTCATATGCCAAGTTCAATGTCTAATCACTATCTCACTAGCTTATTTCTGTGTCCCACATTGCAGTTTTAAATAGATTACAGGCATAGGCATTAGGGCAGCTTGAACTATTCATTTACTTTTTCAACAACTCAACGAAACTACTGTGGAGAAAATTGGTTTCCAAATAGTAGGGGTTTTAAAGACTTTTTTCTATTTTTAGTGTTAAATTATCTACATTTTGGTGTAAAACCTTTATGGGCCTTATTTTAAACCTTCTTCCTGAAAAACTTTTTTTATACACGTTGAACAAACGGAGTCAAAACTGCAGTTTGTTAAGTGGCTACTTAATGTTGGCTCCAAAAGCCAATCCTCAAAGACCCTCATGTTAAAATGCCCAACTTCACAGCAGAAATAAACACGTTTACAGACAAATGCCCAACATCTTTTCTCAATGTCTTTTCCTTGAGGAGTATGTAAACCACTGTGAGGTCAAGGAGAAATGTGATGGTGACTTCATCAGGAAGAGACTGCAACTGCAATGCTAAGATGCCGCATGGTGCATCCTTTAAATGTTGCTGCAGCAAAGAATTGTGTGAGAGCGTTATCTTTCCTTTGGTAACAGATGTTTACAGTGTCTCTCATGCTGAGGGAGATGAGAAGGGAAGCATTGAATTATCGCTCCTTAGCATTTAGCTTCCAAGCCCTACTCGAAGCGTTTTCTCAGAACTTAACTTTATTTTGTAATTAGCTCTACGGTGAAACATACCTGATTTATATCATAAAATATGAAGAGTGGCAGTGTAAATTATTTTAATAATATAATGCTAATGCAGTTTGAAATCAGTCTTCCTACAGCAACTTCTCAATCTCAGTTTCCTGACCTATTGATGACTGGTTACCTGCATAAACTGATATTAGCCCCCTGGGGCCCTGGGATAGGGGTGCCCCATCTGCATTTGGGGATTGATTTTGTAATGGTCAGTGCAGAATTAAAAAGCCTGGCCAAAAACATGCTACCCACCAGCCGGGTGGATCAATACGCATCTATCTGATGTGATTGAGAGGAGGCTTCTGTTTTTCCTGCAGTTTTAATCAGTGAGGTGTCACTCACACAGGGGGGGCGGGATCATTTATTAGGGAATAAGTTGTAAGGTCTTAGTGTCCTGCAGTGACGTGCGGTGAGGTTCATGGCTGGTGAGGCACTGACTCTTTCAGAGTCAGATTTACAAATATTATAGCCTATTTTGACCTTAATCGAAATATTCTGTTATTTTCAAAAGCTTTTTTAGTCTGATGCTATGATTAATTTTAAACAGACCGATCAACAAAAGGATACCCAAAATCTAAATATTGGATTGTTCTTTCTAAGTAAGATCCCATTTTCATTACAGTTGTGGTCTTA